GGGTTCCATCAAATGTCTACCTTTTTTCATTTAAAAAAAAAGCAAAGTATGTACTTTACTGATGGCGGATTAATTATATCAATTTTGTGAACAAGTGCATAGCACGTGGCCATTGGACACTACTTATGAATCATTATCACAACCTTAGCAGGTGTTAAAAACAATAAGAATAAACCCTCCATTCTTATTTATTCACATTCCCCCTTAGGAAAAGGCCATTTTGGGGCAGACCCATATATCCAAACCACAGAGAAAGAGAAGCAATGATTTTATCATCTTATGCTGGAATCTTAATGGTAAGGGAAAGAACACTATTTGCACATATGAAGATGTTACATTTTCTATGCACATTTTGATATTAATGCATATTATTTTCTTTTTCAACAAATGCTTGTAAATGTTTAAGATTTACTAATATTAAATGTTTCATTTTTTAAGATATAATAAAAAGACTTTGACTTCTATATTGTATTGTGAAAACATTTATTTAAGGGGCAAAAACAACCTAGAATGAAATGCATAAATAACTGGATTCTGCATTTTTCTGATTTATCAATTTATTCAGAACTTGTTTATTTAGTGCCCATGTCACACAGGCACAGTACTAGACATACGGGAGCTATAACAGCTTTGTTTTGTACTAAAAGAAAAGCCTGATATGGTAATACATTTGTTGTTGTTGTTGTTTAACAGAACAGCATCCCAATTGAGGAAGTCTTTAAAATTTATGGAGCCGATTCTTCTGCCAATTCTGGTGCTACCAAGGTAAGGGTGACCTGAGACTATCAATATAAGGAATTTTTAGAGAGAATTTTTTATTTGATGCATTTATAATGTTATATTTTTAGAAATAAAATAGCAATTTTAAATCAAAATGTACCAAACCAGATGTAGCCATCTCTTACTTGGGTAATGTATGTAAGTAAAATGCTTTCCTTAGGTGGAGGACTGTACTCGTAATAACAAACCTATGTGGCGTAAGGCTGAGTAGAAGCAGAGAACAGAGCGCCAGGCTTAGAGTCTAGATTCTGCCTAGGTTTCTGATGAACGGAATTTCTTACTTCCCTTTTGTAATGCAGACCTGGTAAGTCCAAGTGCTCTTCACACACAATGTACTGTAACATCTAGAACCAGGTTCTTATACCTCACATTGGGGCTGACATTCCACCTTGGCCACCCCAACGCTAATACTGTTCAGAGACCAAACTATTCCTGGCTTATAATAAAGCCAGCTCTTTGGGTTTCTTGGAGATCCAAGCAAACCATACTGCTTCGTTCCTGCTTGTCTCCTCCTGCCTTCTCCCTCTCAGGCTGCCCTCCTTTCCTCTTCCTCTCATCTCCCCCTCCCCAACACAAACATAAATATCTGGTCTCCAAGCCCCTCTGTTTCCCATCACTGTGTTTTCTCCCCCTTATCTTCTGGTGCCTGGGGGAGGTCTAGGTCAGGTGTTTGATCTGTTGGTCTCAACTAATGTGGCCAGAGGGCAAATACGGACAATCATATCCTGGAGGAGATGGCACTGTGAACCCCTCTGGGCTTGGCCCGATGATCAGTCAAAAAGGTTTACAAACATGGGTGTCTGAAAGAGCCTTTAATCAGCACCTTCTCTATTTGGTTATACACAGTCTCTGTCCTCACAATCAGTGACCAACAATAAAAAGCCCAGATGCGCACATAGACTGCAGAATGACCGGCTCTGAAGGGAAACAGATAATATCCTCACGGAGGGACTTTCCTTCAAAGGCCTGCATTTGCTCATTGATTCAGGAGATGAGTGTTGGCTCATTTATTGATTTGCATGTGAAAGTTTGTATAACGGTTTCAGCACGAGGACTCTAAAGCCGGACTGCCAGGGTTTGAACCCCAGTTTCTCCAGCTAAAAGCAGAAAAATCCCAGGCAAGTCTTCTCAGCTCGGTCAGCCTTGATTTCTTTGTAAAATGAGGGACAAGAAAATGGGTTTGCTGTAGGAAATGAAGTGAGTTTCTGCCAGGAAAGCCCTTAGTGCTTGGCACCTGGTAACCTCAAAATACTAGTTATAGTTAAGGCTCTGATATTTGAGAGCTGCGTATCTGATTTCCTCTCTTTTCCACTAAATCAGGGTTTCTCAACATTTTAAACCACATAATTCTCTGTTGTATGTGTGGAGGGTGGAGTCAGGGGCTGGCCTTGTGGAATGTTTAGCAGCATCTCTGGGAGATCCTCTACCCGTTAGATACCAGCATCCCCCCTGCCCCCCCCAATTGCGACAACCAAAAAGGTCTCCTGACTTTGCTGAATGTCTCCTAAGAGACAAAATCACAGCTGGTTGAGAAACCCTGTTCTAAAAATTCAAAAATTAAATAGCTCATTGAGCATCCATGCATATTATTAACATCATATAATCTTTGCCTATTTTAAACAATGAAATATCACAAAAGGTATGATATGACTTGAGCTACAAATATAAGATTCTGAGGATCATCTGTCCACTGTGGCCTCCCAAGCTCCTCCTTGCTCAGGCCTTTCTCTTGTGGGCACGTCAGGTCCACTGAGGGACCTCCTCCACATCTTAAGTAAGAAATTCACAGAACCTCTCAATGGAAATATAGCACTTCAAATATTGTAAATTGTAGGAGCTATTTGAAAACAGTCCTTGGAGCTTAATAATTTCAAAAAATTTAACTAGGAGATGGGTTGCTAAAAACAAAACACTTATTGCCAAACGCCCTCTCTAATTGCTGCATATATCTGATGACCTTTGATTCCTTTGGATAAAATGTCTCCTAAGCAACAGCTAAAATTCTCAAGCACAACTTTAAAGCCCTGCTGACTATTAATCAGATTATGTAGAATTTCTGGCCCTCGCTAGAACTGCCCACATGGTACAATGTGGGTACTGTGCATAGACTAGATGGCTTTCTTTGGGACTGTTTGCTGCCACCTGGTGACAGAAAGACATCACGGGCCCAGCGTTGTTCACCAACTTTATCAGCTTCAGGTTTTTCTCCTGCTAGGGAGCCGTTTTTCTGCAGAGGACCTTGGACCCATAGAAGTCAACTGAGGGACTCACGTAAGTGAGGTTTATACAAGTGGCTTCAGATAAATATAAACTGCCCTACTCAGTTTTAAACTGAAGAGGAAAGAGCATGGGTCTCCCTTCAACAAATAAAGCAAGCAGTGAAAATATTCTTCAGCTCTCTTTGATGGAGAAAGAGGGAGAAAGGAAGGCAGGCTTTTACACATCCCCACCTGCTCCCCCTTGCACGAGTCATCAGATTATCAGAGCTCATAAAATATTGGAGCTGGAAGTGACCTTTGACACCTTCGGGTTCCACCTGCCCCAGTAAGTAGAGCAACTGGAGTGTGAAAAGCATCAGTCTTGCATCTTCTAAGTGCAGAAGTGCATCAAGAACGATGTATGACTAGACTTAGCAAGGGGAGCGCTTCATTGGTTATATAAGTGTCTAACCACAAAACAAACAACTGGACAAGGCAACGAAAACAACATATTATAAATATATCTGCCCATGCATGCATTTTCCTAAAGAGCTATTATTATAGCCATAATTGCCCCATACTTATGTAAAGCCTCCTTTTAATTACTTTCTGTGTTTTAGGGTCATCTTTCTGAAAAGATTATGTGCTTTTGAGGTTAGAAGCCATAGTTTATGCTTATGTTTAATTCTTTACAACACTGGGTATGAAGTAAATGCTCAATAAATATTTTTGCCATTTGGATAAAAGTCTGAGGTCAAACATAGAAGTGCCCCTGCTGAGGTGGCTCTAGACTTTTGTGTCAATAAAAAGAACACATCCTCATTTATTGTTTGTTACATGGTTTCTGTATGATACAACCAAACCCCCATAGTGATAGTCAAAAACAGAAGTTTACCTCTTAGGTAAAAGGAGCCTGGAGGTGAACAGACCAGGGCTGGTACCACAGTCCCACAGAACTGTCAGGACACAGGCGTCTTCCAGGTTTGTGATCAGTCACTCCTGCTGAAAACTGCAAAACAGTATATAAATGCAGTCCCTTTCTTTAAAGCCCCCCCGCATATACTCCACCTATATATAAACCACACAATTGTCTTAGAGTTCAAATCCCTGTGGAAATTTCCACCTACTTCAAAGGGATACCAATTTTGTGGGAACTTGGGCATTAGGAGTGTGAGCATTAAGAGTCAGGATGATCAAGTTAGAGCAGAAAATTTTCTACTGACCTGGAAATCTAAAAATAAGTGTTTGTTTTGTTGTCCGTGTCCCTTGGTGTTGCCTCAGTTACACATCATGCAAGGGTATCCTGTTGATGAAATGCATAAAAATAATAGTGTGGTCAACTTTACTCCTTGGATATAAAATATTTACTCCTGTAAATAGAAAACCCGAATCTCTATCCATGAGAAAGCAGAAAATTGTCGATCTTGCAGTGGGATGTTAATCACTTCAGGCCTCCTGGCTTTGATGAGTTATTTGTCTGCAATAACTGCACCCCACCTTTTGCTGGTAGGTGAGGCAGGGTCCCATAAAGGAACTGGTGGGGTGGCCAAGTTGTTGCCGTGGGTAACTCTATACAAGAGAGAGAACGGCGTCAGGGAGAGAAATGATGATGATAAATATAAATAATAATAAGTGTTCATTTTAAAGCTACTATATTGTACCACGTGCCCAACACTATTCTAAATATTTTACATATGCTAATTCTTTCATCCCTACCACAATTCTATAAGGTAGGTACCAGTGTTATTATTGTGACATGAACAAACAAGCAGCCTGCATTCCGATACAGCCAGTTTGACATAAAAGTCCATGCTGTTAACTACTGTTGCCTTGACTAGAATCATAGTGCAACTAGTCAATAACATTTGAGTGCCTACTATGTGCTAGAGATAAAAGGTTAAATTAGTTAACCAGCCTCCCTCCTTCCATACATCAATCCGTTCTCACATAGCAGCCAGAGTGATCTTTTTAAAAACCTGAACCAAACCTTGTAATACTATTGCTTAGAAATATTTCAACGGCTTCCATTGCACCCTGGGATCAGTTTCAGTGCACAGCTCCATACCAGGACCCACAAGGAGCCACATGGTCTGGGTCATGCCTCCTTCTTCAACCTCACCTCCAAGCTTCCCCCTTTTCACTATGCTCTAGCTACACACGGGCTTCCTTTCTGTGTCTGGAAAGTGCAAGCTTATTCCAAGAAGACATTCTTATTCCCTTTGCCTGGAACACTTGTCTCCAGCTCTTCCCATGGCTGGCTGCCGAGCCTCCTGCAAGCCTCAGCTGAAACACTGCATCCTTCCAGAGGCTTTCTCCGTCCATTCTGTCTGAAGTAGTGGCTGTCCAGTCCCTCCCCCAGCACATCATCTCGTTTAGTGTATTTATTAAACTTATCATGATGTATAATTACCCTGGTTGTCTAATAGTTTATTATTTTTCTCTCCTCACTCAGCTCCAAAAACAGAGACTGGCCATAGTTGGTGCTCACTGAAAACTTGGTGAATGAATGAATGGACAGTTCTAGCCTTGAAGACGTTTCCAGTGTAGTGCAGCAGACAGCGGATTATAGCTGTAACACTCGGGGTTTGTTCTACGTGACAACACGCCTTGAGTTCCCAGATGAGAGCGTCGATAATCCTGCCTTGGAGTGGGGTGGGGGTCAGGAGGCCAGTATGGGAGAGTGAAGGTGTGGACACACCGGGCAAGTTCCCCAGAAAAGGTGACATCTGAGCTAGATCTCAAAGGACAGGTCGCAGCCTATAAGGAAAGTCAGAGCCTCCAGGCGGAAAAGAAGGAAATAGCTATTCTAGGTGAAGGGAACTATTCGAAGAGCTATCAGTGTGTGAAAGCGTACTGAAGGCAAGAGGAACCAAGTGGAGCGAAGACAGTGTGTGAACATGCTTGACAATGAAACACGAGCCCCGCGGTGGACTGTTAGTCACGTCTAAGGCCTGTGGCTGGGCAAACAGGCCCAGTGCCATAAGTAGCAGGTGTTAACAGCTCCAAGTGTGTGCAGCTTTTCAAAGGAGGACTGTTTTCCTTGCAGGTTCCCCGAGCTCCACCTTTCCGCCTCTCCTTGCACCCTTTTGCTATGTTAACAGCACCCAAAGCAGCAGAGTATGCCCGCAAGCAGAGTAAGCCTGTTTACTCCCATCCGCTTAGAGAAATTTAAATCGGGGGGGAACTCACAAAGTAAGGTCAAAGTTGTTATGGGAATAACATCTCTCTGGTTGAATTAAAAGAACTGGGAGAACATATGGCTCGATTTCCCTCTGTTATTGAAATCAGGGAAGTCTTACTTTTGGACTGTTTGTTAATGGGAGCAAAGCACTCATGAAGGGAAAGATTTAAAACTGTGGATGGACTTACTTTTTTAAAGGTTTTTTTGTACAGATATGTTTCCTACGTGTGTCTCTAGGTGTCAAGTTAAGAAGGGGAACAATGAATAAAAACGCCACCAGCAGCTCTACAAGGGAAGTAAATGCCACAGAACAGAAATCATCAAAAAATGTATCTTTGGACAGACAGCCAAAGAACAAAGTAGGTCTAAAAACAAAAACTGGACCAAAATGATACGAGATGTTGGGGAGTACTTTACTTATATTGTAGTCTGGCCTTTGGAATTAGATGCTCTGGGTTTGAATCTAAAGCTTACTACTTACCATCTGTTTGACTTCAGGCAAGTGACTTAACCTCTCTGTTCCTTAGTTTTCTATNAAGCTTACTACTTACCATCTGTTTGACTTCAGGCAAGTGACTTAACCTCTGCAAAATGGGAAAAATAATGATAGGACTTCTTAAGGCTGTCCGGATGATAACCTGAGATTATGCATGTTAAGAGCTTAGAACAGTGCTTGCACAGAGCAAACCCTAAATAAATATTAACCATTATTATCTTTTAGTGTTTGAGAAATATTATTCACAAGTTAATCAGCTGTTATTCTGTGGGTTCAAATAAGTGTGTACATGTTTATAGTAAAAATTTCATACGATACAAACATTATAAGTAAAAGAACCCCTCTGCCCCATACCCCTTTCCTACTCCTTAGATATAACCACTGGTAATGTTTTTGTGGCATTGAAATACTGCTATTCATGTATGCTTACTACTAATTTGTTAGAAATAACCAAGGAATAAATTAAAAGCAACAAATATTTTTATTAAAGAAATAATTATTTTATAAATGCATGAAAAATAAACTTGCACAGTTTACTGTTTGAAGAAGTTTTTCATTTTATATATTTGAGCTTCTTAGTCTTTTCCTTTATAGCTTGTGGATATTATATCATGTATTTTAGCTGATAAACAATTCTATAACCTCAAGATGAAATGATGCCTTATTCAGAATTTTCTATATATTTCCAGCCACTGAATTTCTTCATAAAGTAAGGGAAATGGAGAAATTATTTGTTAAAAATCCAGGTATTCTGGCAACCAGTTCTAAATATTTTTTTTATACTGCATTAGTATTAGTAGATCATTTATTAATCAAAATGGGTGTGAACGACACCATACCCTGGGAAAGTGTCAATATCCGGCAGAGTTCTAGGAAATGAATTTGGAATGGACAAGATCATCCTAAAGAACCAGAAAACAGCATACTATTGCGGTTAAGAGTGTGGACTCTGGAGTCAGACAGCTAGATTTAAAAACTGGTTTCTCCATTCAATAACTTAGGTGAGTTATTAAGAAATGATTTCGTTTGGGTATGGTCAAACAAAGTATTACTTTTATTATTTCATTTCTCTGGAAATAATTTTGAGCTTAGAGAAAAGTTGCAAAAATACTACACAGAACCTTCATATTACTCAGATTCACCAATTGCTGATGTTTTGCTCCATTAGCTGTATCATTTTTTCTCTCTGCCTCCCTCTCTTCCTCTGTTCCTGTCTAGCTCTTTGTATATAGATATATAATTTTTTTCTAATCCATTTGAAGTTACATCATCATATCATTTTACCCCTATATACTTCCGTGTGTACTGCCTAAGAACAAAGTCTTTCTCTTAATTAACCACAGTATAGTTATCAGCCTCAGAAAATCTAGCAAATAATCTACCATCTATATACAAGTTTTTTCAGTTGACCCAATAATGGTTTTTTTAAAACATTTTTCCTTCTGTATAGGATCCAATTGGGATCATATATTGTATTTAGTTGAAAAATATAACTCAATTTCCAAATGTCTCAGAACAGTTCCATGGAGATTCTTTTGTACCTACATTCATTTGAACCCATCTTCGTCAATAACTTAGCCTCTGATATTTGACCTTAACTCCCTATAGATTGAAAGCTAATGTCTATGTCCATTTTGAATTGACATGCTTGATTTCAAAATCATCTTTTTATTCTGCAGGTCACTTAGAAACTTGGAATTGCACCATGGGACTTCATAATAAAGTCCCTGGGAGAGGAAAAGAAACATCATCTCAAAACTGCAACTCTTGCCAGCATGTTTTCCTTTACAGTGAGCTTTGATGCAAAGTGCATTGAAGTGTTATTTTTGGATGTTGAGCATTCTTCTTTAGAATCATATATAACTACATTTAGGTTTTAAAAATGCGTGTATCTTATGCTACTTCATTGTGAGTAGAAGACTGTCGGTTGGAGAATTCCAAGAATATATAGTATTTCTATGTCAGAGCAGGCTGGCTTTTAGCACATTTTACAAATGTTTAGCACTGAATATTGCAAGGTGGTGGAGTAGGAGGCAGTTTTCCTTAGTTTCAATCCAAAATAAAATTAATCTATCATTGATTGCCTTTACTATGTTGTCATATGGAAACATTTAAAATCATTTCAATAAAGCATTATAAGAAAAATGGTGTAGGCTTTCTTTTAGTAAAATATCATCAGCATCAGTGTGATGGGCATGTAGTGCATTTCTAGAGAGCTGCATAGGACGAGAAGTGACACCCTTTGTCTCCAAGGTCATACTGGCTCTGCTGACTTCAATTACTTTCACTGGAGCTAGCAGGGACAAGTCCAAAATGCCAGAGAGAATGAGAGCCCCCTGCCCCATAATCCCAAATGAAAAAAAAAGAGAGAACATAGAAATCCCCTCACGCACCATCTCCAGGCCCCTTTTGTCCTGTTCTTGCCAGCACAGCAGCCGTCCTGCTATGTATACCAACTGCCACCCTTGTCCCCATCACACTGGATGCTGATCCGCTGGCAATGACCACAGGAAAGGTGAGCCAACCCGGGCGCTGTGCCATGTCTACTGAGCATCTTCTGTGTGAGGATGCACCTCCCAGCCGACTGCCTGCTGTCACCCTGTTTTCCACTACAGATCACCTTCTACGAGGACCGCGGCTTCCAGGGCCGCCGCTACGAGTGCAGCGGCGACCACGCCAACCTGCAGCCCTGCTTCAGCCGCTGCGCCTCCATCCGCGTGGACGGCGGCTGCTGGATGCTCTACGAGCACCCCAACTACCAGGGCCACCAGTGCTTCCTGCGGCGCGGCGACCACCCCAACCCCCAGCCCCGACTCGGTGGGCTCCTGCCAGCTCATCCCCCAAGTGAGTGTGGCTAGATGGCGATCGCGCTGCCTGAGGGGCCTCACAGTATTATTGAGGGGGGCTAGGGTGAAGGTGGTTTTCCTTTAGAAGCACCCCAGGAGCCCAGCCGGTGTGGCTCAGCGGCTGAGCATCTACCTATGATCCAGGAGTTGGTGGTTCGATTCCCAGTCAGGGCACATGCCCGGGTCGCGGGCTCGATCCCCAGTCGGGGGCGTGCAGGAGGCAGCCGATCAATGACTCTCTCATCATGGATGTTTCTCTCTCTCTCTCCCTCTCCCTTCCTCTCTCTGAAATCAATAAAGATTTTTTTTTTTTAAAAAGCACCCCAGGATTAAGTGGGTTCTAGATACTTGCTTGTTTTGTGTAGATATACGCTGCACAGAAACAGCACAGAATATAGGGGAGAATTCATTTAGGGAAAGAGTCCGTTTTCTTTTTAATTTTTGCTGCCAATAGGTCAATTAAAAGTTGACTGCAACAAATGTAATAACATAGTGGGATATAAAACAAAACTTGCAAATGGGAAATTAGTTGGACATAAGGAGGCAGTGTTTCTGACAAATTAACTTATACCTATAGTAAAGGAATTGCTAGTGAACGAAATAGTTTCCACTATGGACTAGTAAAAGTGGAAAACTCTTTGTTAGTATAGGCTATGCAAAGGTAAAGCCCAACTGTGGGAAAAGTGATTGTTCTTAATTTGGAAGATCAGTTGAATTGTGATCTCAAGTGACTATTTAAACCAATTTTCACTAAAATATGTGCTTTTTCAAATCCTACTTTAGTGGTAAATTTATATGCATACAAATTGGGAGATAATATTTATATTACAAGAATACTAGTCAATCTGTGTTGCAGGTTCCATCCCCACCCCCAGAAGGGGCTCATGTGGGAGGCAACCGATTGCTGTGTCTCTCTCGCACTGATGTTTTTCTCTCTCCTCTCCCTTCTCCCCTCTCCCACTCTCTCTAAAAATCAGTAGAAAAAAATATCCTCACTGCTCAGGTGAAGATTAAAAAAAAGGAAATGAATATTAGTCAAAATATATTTTCCCCCCAAATATTGGTTTAACACGTAGGAGTCAACGAATTCGGTCATTGGGAGTTAGGAATACAAGATATTTGAGCTCTCAATGGATTCTAACCCAGACTTTGAATCTCTTAAAAATGACCCTCCTAGATAAGAAATAGAAAACAAGCATGCAAGTATTTGTGCATGTGGGTAGGACACAGACCCATACACAGCACTCACAGCAATCTTTAGAGTCTCACGTTTGACGTGGACACTCCCATGGCCCAACCCACCAAGCTCATCTGTGGTTTGGGTGCCTCTTGGGCTCCTTCTGTCTGTGGACCGCGCAGACGGGCTCCCATCGGCTGCGGCTGTATGACAGAAAGGACCACACAGGCCTCGTGATGGAGCTGAGCGAGGACTGAACTGCCTCCAGGACCGCTTCCAGCGGAGTGAGGGCCGCTCCCTCCACATGCTGGAGGGCTGCGGGGTCCTCTGCGAGAGGCCCGGCTACCAAGGACGCCTGTACCTGCTGAGGCCCCAAGAGAACAGGCACTGCCAGGACTGGGGAGCCGTGGGTGCTAAGGCTGGCTCTTTGCGGAGGGCGGTGGATTTATACTAAACTCGGTTCACACTACCATTTTCTCAATTTGGAACCTAATAAAGTATTTCGTCTGTATCGTTGGCAATTGCTGGCTTCTGTTTTTCTTTCACTGTGGGCCAATTAATTCACCGGTAAACGCGCCCTGGTAAAGGGAGCATTTCTAGAGACCTTTGAGGAGTGACTAAATAGGAAAGGTCTATTCTAGAAGAGTTTCAAGGTAGAATAAGTCTCGAACAGGTTCAGAAGTGGGGGTGGAGGGAGGAGGTAGCCTGTCTGAGAATGCAAGGAGGGTCAACAAAGAGAAATGGGAGAGGGTGCCTAGGGAGAACCAAGGCATTCAGCCTCTGCTTTGAGGAGGCTGACCAGGGGTGATTTGAGGCCACAGAGGGTCAGCGATGAGTGGTGAAGAAGCGCCCACCTGGCCAAAAGCCTGGTTATACTATGCAACAATAAGGAATTGCTTTGTTAATTTTCAAGCACAGTGCTGTGTAGCTGATGCCAGGACTGTCACTGGCCATCGCCAAACTTTTGGACTTAGTTACAGACCCTCCTTCCTATTCTAAGACAGCTTCTGACTGGGGAGCACCTCTTGGCCAATACAGCCACTGGGCCAAACACTGCATGTAGGGCAGAAACTCAGAATGCTACATAACGCCAGCTAATACAAATAAGTTAATGAGATACATGTTAATATGCTTAATAGATTTGCATGGTATAGAGTACCACAAACATAATAATTCTTTTACTACAATAAAACAGTCTCAAATTTAAAGGCACATTGAAGAAAGCCATAATTTCTGGAGCCCTCTGATTGAAGTAAAGTCTGCTTGCTCACACGCAAAGCCCTGCATATTAAAAAATTTTTAAATCCTTTCATCAGTAGAGAATTAATCTATTTTTAATTTGAAATTTTCCCTCCAAAGTAAAAACCTCCCGTTATCTTACTACTTTACGAATCATCTATATAAAGAAGTGGAGGGGGTCCTTCTGATCCCGTCTTCATTGCTAGCCCTTGTTTACACTCGGTGGACACCCTCCTCAGCTTTCCCTCACTTTGCCGCTGTCTCATGAAACGCACGCTTCCCCCACAAAAACAGTCACGCTGCGGGCATTGTCTGCAGCCTGCTCCTCCAGGCGCCTCTGGGGCTCTTTGTATCCAGTTCTCTCTCATATTTCACTGTGTTCATCCACCAACACTCTCCCCACAGAAACAGCTCTGGGCAAAATGATGACTTTTTATTATACGTTTTAAGATTATTCTATTTTGAAAATTTTTAAACTAAAATGATTTTTACTCTTTTGAGTCTGGCGGCTTATTTTTCACTATGTAAACATAAGTAACTCTGGAAACACGCCTTTACCTGGTGGATAACAAGACCCGGACCCATCATATTGTGCACGGTCGGTGTTTAATTCATAAATCTCGATTTACAAAGATTTATGACCCAGGTCAGGACAAAGTATTTCCAAGAGACAACACAGGATTTGGAATAATTCTTCGAGCATGAAAGAGGCTGAAGGCACAGGTCATCTTCCACTCCAGCGCTCTTTCCAGCCCATCAAACCATTCACTTCCAGGCAGATAAATATTTTCTAAAGTCTTCCTAGAGTCTCAGCTTCTAGATCTCCATTCCTCCCTCTCCCTACACAGTCCAGCTACAGCTCCTCTTTGTCTTCATGTACTTAATTTCCTCTGAGTCAAAAGCTTTGTGTCCTCTGGTTCCCCAGAGAACAAAGGTGTATCTAGATCCTCCCAGAGAGTGTTTCTTAGGAATTTGGTTTTATTTTATAATAACCTAAGAGCTCATCTATTTTTGTTTGTTTTAAACATATTACTTTTTTATCTCCTTAAACTTAGAAACTTCCCTTTTAGTTCTTCATTCTGAGATTAAGCATTTTAAAGCTGTTCTCCCTTGTGAATCACAATTAGCTGAGATAAAGCGTCTAATCCTCAGTCTACTTCCAGGCGTGACTGCGACAAAATCAGGACTAGGCCAGACACTGAAGATCTGCGCTTGCTGTGCCCTTGTGGTTTTGTTAGTTTGTTTCTTTACCACACTGCAAGTCTGAAATCCTGTGAACTCCCCTGGTAAACAATTTCTTACACCCTTTAGTGAGGAAGTTCCCTTGCAGGACTAATTAGGAATTTTCAACATTGTTAAGGTCACTTTCTCCCCAGTAGCAGTGAGTGTGTGATTCTGTGACCCGCAGGCCATCCGATCGTTCTTACGGGTTACTTTACACGTACCATATTCAGGCCCTGCTTTTTTGCTCCCCCGCTCACACTTTTTTTGTTTCCCCCCAACCTATACGAGTGACAGTGTAGACTCTATAGGAAACGGCTGAAGCTCTGCTTCTATTATTAAACAGACAATGTCCCAAACGACTTTTCTTTCAGTGTCAATGGCATCGCCCAACGACAGCAATCCGAACGCTCCAGAGAGAATGGGACCAAACCCCACAATAAGCCCCGTGGACTCTGACCGCAAAGAGAGAAAGGAGAACACGAAAGTCCCCTCCTCACCCCGGGGCCCCTTTTGTGTTGCGGCTGCCAACGCAGCAGCGGGCGGCTATATAGACCCGCGGCCGCAGCGCGCCGCGCACTGCGCTCCCGCGCCCCTCGCCGGCATGGG